TACATATGCTTGTGTGTTGTGTTTCAGAGCTGAGGAATGAGGGGAGGGGGAGGAGAGGGGAGGAAGGGTAAGAGCGAGGTGAGGAGGAGGAAGAGGAGGAGGCGGTGGTGCAGGATTTTCACGCAGGGTGTTGCCCTACTTTTCAGCTCAGCTCCTGGCTGCTTCAGGATTTCCCCAAATCTCTGGTTTCCACTGAACGAGCAGGATCGGATCTGAAACTGCGTCAGGAAAGAAAAGTGGGGTGGGGGGGCGGATTTCAAGGCTGATCTCCTGAGCCATTAAACAAGTTGTTGCTTTGTTATTGGGACGTATTTAACCCGGTATGAAAAGGAAATCCAGAGCACAAGACGTTACAGTAACAAGCTGCAGCAGGAAAGTGAAACTCTGGATTCACCCTGATTCTTCACCACATGAAATATTCTTTTCTCTTTCTGATTCAACTCAACATTCACTCAAATACCAGACTTTAAACTTTTGCTATAAGATGGAGCAATGACCCAATACTGACCCGAACCCATAACCCCGATCATACATCAGAATCATGCTAACTATGAAGTGAAGAAGAAAACTGTCCTCCTGCAGAGAAGAAGAAAACTCATAATGACCTTTCACATATCCTGAGACCGGACCATTCTCTCAACCCACAACACACACACACAACACACCCACACAACACACACACACACACACACACACACACACACACACACACACACACACACACACACACACACACACACAGGAACAATCCAGTCTCAGTGATTATGTGTCTGTGCAGCTGCAGGAAGCATTTGTCACATAGAAAATGAAAAACTACAACAACAAATCTCTGTACGGAAACAAAACAACAAAACAACAAAACAACGAGCTGCAGACAAAATCCTGAGAGGAGAAACATCAGTTCAGGTGTCTTCTGGCTGAAGCTGCAGGTGAGAGTTTAGAGGAGTTGTCACAGTTATAAAACCAGGTCTCACCTGGTGCATGCTGCTGATTATCAGCCGACAGACACAGGAGTTAAACTACAACTAACACATGTGCAGGATGATCTCATTCTCTCTTCATTAAAGGAGGTGGAGATGTGAGAGTTTCTTCTTTAAACCAACTCCAAACATGAAGTCAGAGCGAGGGAGCGTCTCTGCTGAACGGAGGGATTTATTTCTCTCACTCTCTGTGTTTTAATGCACTGGTCAGAGCCGAGCGGCTTCACAGCTTAATGATCTTTAAATCTGACAGATCCAAAACCTGCAGCTCACAACATTCAGAACGCAGAGGCGTCAAGGTTAAAGGAAAACCCCGCCCCCACACATCCACTCCAGCCTCGAGGTTTCACTCACTAAAAGCAAGAAAATCCTAATTTGACCAAAGCAGATTCGACTGTTTGGAGAACGATAAACAGAAAACAGACTCCTTCAGAAACTCCTCTGTGACCTGTGTGGACTTTAAAAGCATCAAAGGCTGAATTTCTTTCCCAGTCTGACCGTGGAGCCGATACTGGTCTGGTTCACTGGGAGGAGAAGACCTACGAGCTGCTAATGGCTGCAGCTCCAGACCTGGTTTTCCTTCTCCTCCACGCGTCAGTAACTTGATGCTTCATGATGTCACATGTCTGTTTTCATTAGTGGCAGCTACAGAAGACATGCTAACATTAGCTAGCTTGCCGTTACCATTATTTTGAATGTGCTCAGCAAATGTTGCTATCGCTAGCTAGCTAGCTGGCTAACTGGCAGCATTGCTGTGGAGCATATGACGGCAATGCTAGCGTGGGCTAACGGTCGTGGTTAGCTTGTGTTGTTAGCGGTAACTTTGAGTTGAGCCTCTTTCTCTCAAGCTTTTGCAGGAGCGACTCCTGGTGGTCGTTAGAGGAGCTGCAGCTTGAACATTTAGCTCTGGGGCTTGATCTGAGTTCTGTCCATTTTTAAAAGTTTTATGTTTTAGCACCATCACCCCTCCCACACCGGGATTCGTGTTCAAACTAACCTGCATTTGAAAAGAAACGCACCTGTCCTCTGAACCCGGCAGGTGAACCCCTCCTCCGAGTCGTTTCATCTAAACACCGGACAGGACTGAGATGGGAGTGATTGAGATTCTGGTCGACGCCTGAGAGCCGTTACTGGGCCACTTTCCCCCGACCTGGCAGGTATAACTCACCGCCCGCTGTGGCATTTAATCTCAATTGAGCCAAAATGGCCGAAGGCTGTGTGACATTGCGGTGACATTAAGCAGCAGTAATCGTTGAGAAATGGCTCTTCAGAGGCCGCCGCTGACACACACACACACACACACACACACACACACACACACACACACACAATGATAAAGTGAAGCAATAACATTAACAAGTCCTACAAATAGAGTATTTCTGTTTCTATAAGAGTGTGTGTGTGTGTGTGTGTGTGTGTGTGTGAGTAAATCCAGCTGAAGTGGGACACACACTGTAAACAGTCTCAGAGCAGCATCTATCCATCATACAAATATCAACCCTCTGATCCAGCTCTCCTCCTCGTTGCTCCACTTCCTGTCTTTCACTCATTTTCATTCATATTTTTCCAAACATCTTCTTCATCCGTCATTCATTTCACACACACACACACACACACACACACACACACACACACACACACACACACACAACACAGCACACACACACACAACCACACACACACACACACACACACACACACACACACACACACCAGAACACACTCTCTCTCGCTCATTAAACACAACACGCTGGTTTGGTTTCTCTTCTACCAACAGAGGCGGCTCTGCAGCTGCAATCCATCATCTTTACTCCCTAACTAACTTACACACACACACACACACACACACACACACACACAGAAATATGCACTTCAACACACAAAATTAGGAAAAAACTAAACTTTCTAAGTGCACACAGTCAGTGATGCAGAGACAGCAATACAGCCAGCATGCAGTAGATACATTTACACACACACACACACACAAAAGTCTGTTTGAAAAGCTTGTTTCTGTTCAGATCAGCTGATCACATCTACACCAACCCTTCATCTCTGTGTGTGGTGGTTCCACTTCTCCCTCATCGTCAGGTGATAAACCCCCCCACACACACACACACACACACACACACACACACACACCCGTCTCTTATACAACACACTGTATGGATCTGTACACAGGGGAGGAAACCTAAAGCCAGAGAGCAGCAGACACAAGCAGCTTCATCTACACAACACCTGTGTGTGTGTGTGTGTGTGTGTGTGTGTGTGTGTGATATGGATTTTTCCACAGGCCTATAGTATTGCAGCAGCGTTGTAACAAGGTGCATATTGCTCCTCTGATGCATTTAATCCATGAGTCAGTGTGGGCGAGACGCAGAGAGGGAGACGCAGTCAGCTGCTTCAGTCCAACACAAACGCTGCGTCCAAACCATCATGTCAGCTGATGGACGACACTGTAACTCATCACTGACTCCACCTGTAAACCTCTGCCTCCATCCGACCTCCTGACTCCGACATTACAGATACAAGCAGACCTCTGCAGGACGTGAACCACAGTCCGATACATATTTTATTTCCTCTGGAGAATAAAAGCAGAGGAGCGTCGTTGCCGTGGCTCCAGCGGCTCTACACCTGTCACATGTCACACACGTCTGCAGCTTCACAAGCAGAAACAAGGAAGTGAGTTAGGTGACATCATGAAGGTGTTGCACAGGGACCGGTCTGATTGGTTCAACTCACTGGAAACCTAGATGAGTTTTGATCAAATTTGCTGAAACGTTGTGGAGAAAATGAAAGGACGCACAGAATTCACAGCGACTGAATCTGTGTTAATGATGGGAATCGAGACGTCGCGACTTTCTGGAGGAACTGATTAACGATTGATTAACGATTGAATTCACTGTGCAGCTCACCGGCAGCTACTGGACTCAATGTATGTTGGATGTTTGGAAATCAATCAATACACCTTATTCATTACGATCAGCTGATTGTGTGTGTGTGTGTCTCTGTGTGTTGCAAGAAAGGTTATGCGTGAAAGTGTGGCAGGCAAATTAAATCAAATATTAATCCACTATTACAAAAAATAAGTTACTAGATTAATGGGAAAACATGAGCAATCGATGTTCTTGATGATCGTTCGATCACTGATCCCATCGTCCATCGCCACGACCCAAACACCTGAACCACTCGCTCAGACGTTCACGTTCCCCTCCGACCTTCAGTCTCTGACAACGAGACGTCATGTGACCGAGTGCTTCCCTCCATTAGTGTCGTTCACACTCAGCCCTTCATGCAGCGACGGCGCCTCGTCCTTCTCCTGAACACATTCAGTTCCTTTCTGTTTATCGTTCCGACTCATTGATCTCGATCATTTGATGTAATGAAACGTTTCGTGTGAAAACATGAATTCACTTCATCCGATCATCGTTTCATCTTTTCCTTCATGTCTGGATCTTTTCCATCAGCTCACATTTATTTCTGTATTTCACATTAAAGTTCTTCAGTTATTAAACTCGCAAATGTCAGTGTGTTAATGTGACCACTGAAGATCGACCTACACACTCCCACCACCCGCCTGTGTGTGTGTGTGTGTGTGTGTGTGTGTGTGTGTGTGTGTGTGATGCTGACTCATAAATCCTCCCACTGTTATAACATATGTACACACACACACACACGTTTTGCACACAAACAAGAGAGTGTGTGTGTGTGTGTGTGTGTGTGTGTGAGAGAGAGAGAATGACGGCATTAAGAAAGAGGCTGACAATCCTCCGTTGGGATTGGCTGAGAGGCTGCTGATGCATTATGGAAACAAAGTGACCAACAGTGAGGTGATTAGAGTGGAGCTGCCACGGTTATGAGAGAGTGTATGAGTGAAGGCGTGTGTGTGTGTGTGTGTGTGTGTGTGTGTGCGACAGGTGGTCGGTCAGTAAACAGGTGTTCATCTGCATTCTAGTCAAACTGGTTAACCTGAGGGAGGGATGTTACAGAGTGTGTGTGTGTGTGTGTGTGTGTGTGTGTCACCTGTCTCTGTATCAGTGCCACTGCCTGCTGCCCCTCCTCCATCAGAATTGCCACAGTTTTTGGATCCTCCACTTTCTGGTTGGCCCTGAAGGCATCACGCACCCGCCGCAGGGCATAGGTCCTGTAACACACACACACACACACAAACTTTGGTTTGATTCAACCCATTTAAAGTGAAAACAAACATCGAGCAGTGAAGAAGAAGAAGAAGAAGAAGATGTGCGGAGGAGACTCTCAACCCTCTGAGGAGTTTAAATAAAAACAAACAAGTTTAAACACAAAAAGCACCAGAGGTAAAAACGAATATAAAGAAACTGAAAAAAATAAATGAGCAGACGAGATGAAAACAAACCTCAAGGCAACAGTTTAAAAACACAACGACAACAGCAACAACAACAACAACAACAACAACAACAACAACAACAACAACAACAACAACAGCAGCAGCAGCAGCAGCAGCAACTGAACCTGAAACACTGATGTTGGAACTGACTGGAACATGAACCTGATTAAACGCTTCCTTTCATTCATTAACAAAAACACTGATGAATCAGACTGAATTTGCCTTTAAACGATGCATTATTAAAGCCAAAGTAAAAACAAATAAATTATTCATTACACTTAATAATTCCTTCCTCTTCCTCTGTCTTGAACTGATGAACTGATCTGAACTCCAACAGAAACTGCAGCTTTCAGGAATTTCTAATCAAACATTGTGAAAGTCTTTTATTGATTATCTCAGAACAGAGAAGTGAAACTTCAGGCTCTGCTCAAAATCCCAAAGCGTAATATTTACTTTGAGATGAGACGAAGAGCAGCAGCAGATTCTTCTTCTGCTTCAAACCGACTTCAATAATCAATCAGTTATCAAAAGAGTTGATTCCTTTTGTTTCTGATCGATTGATTCTTGCAGCTGTGGAAATGAACCACGACCACTCACTCAATATAATCTGACATCATCTACAGTGAACTGCTCTAAATACTACAGTTCCCATCAGCCCCGGTGATCGCTGCTCTGGAGGAGAAGCCGGTCAGAATCAAAAGTCAAATTTCAACCTTCTCACATTTCAAAGGTAAACTTCAGCCGACGTTCAGCACAGCTCACAACACAACCTGAAGCCACCGCGGCCCTGTAACGATGACATCACCCTGGGAGGAGTCTGGTGGTTTGTGGGTAGAGACAGAAACTAAAAGCACTCCAGTGTAAATAAGTGACATTAAAACCAGTCAGAGCAGCAGCTGCGTTTGCACTGAGTGAAGTCGTGTGAATGAAGCCTGCATGGTTTTCTCCTCCCGCGGTTTTCTTCCCATTTAACGTGACGACCGGGCTGAGGCCGAATCCTTTCCTGATTCCATTTGATTCGATTCAGTCTGAGATATTTCAGCTACAACATCAGTTTGTCTTGGACATGATGAACAGTGTTCCTCTGACCTGCTGCATTATTAAAGACATGTTTACATCATGAATGGACACGACCGACAGTTCAGACACATCTCAGGACAGAACAGATGTGATGTGCGGTCTGCCATGTCGGTGTCTCTCACGTCACGTGGCGGCTTCACACGTCCACAGGAGGGTGTATAAGACAAATATCGTACGTTCATGAATCCATATCGAATTATTCAAATGAGAATTGATTTTTTTCAACCCAGCCCAACATGACGACGCATTCCCAGCAGTCTGGAACCGTTTCCCCGGGCGCCACAGCGGGAATGCAAGAACAAGTGTTTGGAAAGTATCTGGGAAATATTTCTGTGTTGAATAATTTGAAAAACCACTTCATGCAAGGGTATGCTTTTCAAATTAAACAGGTTCATGGAAACACACCTGGAGACAGTTTTCAGTTTCCACTTCCTGTCAAACAACAACACGTCCTCCCTGAAGCTTCACCTCTGTGCTCAGTGTCTGTGTGAAGCTGTGTGAAGCTGTGTGAAGCTGTGTGAAGCCTGCAGACAGACGCCCAGCGGCTGACACGCCTCAGCTGTTCACTGGTCAGGGATGGAGGTCGGCTCGACCACGCTCCTGTGACCGCCGCTGATTTGATTTCCTGCAGCTTCCCTCCACAAAACACAAACACAGAGGCCGAGCTCAGCAGGCGCATGACCAGTGTGTGTGTGTGTGTGTGTGTGTGTGTGGGGAGGGTCTTTGATTTTCTTGCAGCTTTGTCTTTTCTCCTCTGACGAGAAACTTTAATCTGAAAATCTCAGTCTGTGGCTCCATCAACACGTGCGATGAAAAGATGCTTTAACGTGAAGGATCCGAGTTCACACAGAACAGTGTTTGTGTTTACTGAATAAAGATGGTGGACAAAGTATCAGAACATCTTAATTAAAAAAAAACAATTAACAGTTAGTGCGTCTTTGTGAGTAACGACAGTTTTCACTGACATTCACTACATACTACTATAAATAAATTAAATAAATGTAGAAATAAATACAAAATAAAATCTTGAAATGCATAAATAAATAAATTAATGTCGAAATAAATGATTACTGAAAATGAAAAAAATAATTAAACTCAGAAATACAGAAATAAATACAAAACTAAATCCTGAAATACATTAAAAAAAAAAAAAAAAAGTAAAACTACTTATTTATTTATTGAATTATATATTTGGTATTACTGTTTACGTTAATGAGGACCATATTACATTGTTTCCACAAGGATTTATGTTTGGAAATTGTTGATTGACAGTAAAATAAACTGATAAAAATAAATAGATAAATAACCAGTCAAGCCTGAACCATGTTGATTTATGGCTGAAACGTGGATATGAGCTTGAAATATTCCCTCATATGTTTTGAGTTATTTTCTTCTTCTACCAGAGAGCAGCTGGTGTAAAATCCTCAGTGACCTCAGCGACCTCAGCGACCTCGGACCAGAGTATGTTTCAGCTGCAGACCTGGACGCGCTCAGAGTCCGGAGGCTCTGGTCCAGAACGAGAAGCTACAGATGAGGAAGATAATCAGAAGAGACAAATTGGAAACACTGGAGTGTTTTCTGGCAGGAGCTGCTGAAGTGAAAATGATTATTGGTTTAATTTTCAGCTCTTTTTTTCTTGATGGGCGCCGGCCTCATTACAGCTGGCAGCTCCTCTGATGTGAGGAAACTACTACATCGACCTTGGGAAGTTGCGGCGCTGCCCAACAAACCCATTCATCTTCCACGTCTCCATCGTCTCGAGCTCATTTAAGATTTAAGACAGAACCAATGAGAGAGCCACGCATCAGGTTTACATGCTGAGGTCGAACACGATGGTCGCTACAAGGACGTGACGGAGGAGGGAGGAAAACAGGTGAGGAAAGGACAGACAGATGAGAAGGAAAGAAACTGGGATCGAAAAAAGGAGAAGGAAGGGAGGGAAAAACAGGAAATATGAAGGACAGAAAAGAACAGACGAGACTGAGGACAAAAGTAATCGAGGATGGAAGGAAGTAAGAACAGAGGGAGTAAACAAGGATGCAGAGGAGGGAGGGAAAAGATGAAAGATGGAGAGAAGGAAAGAAAAAAGAAAGAAAGGAAAGATGCAGGGAGGTAGTGAGAGATGGAGGGAAGGCAGAGTGAAAGTATCTAGGACAGAAGGAGTGTTCCCTGGCAGTTTGGAGGAGAAAGAGAAAGTGAAGGATGATGATTGGTGACGGATCACGTCGAGCAGCTGGAGGAGACGAACAGCTCCCAGTTTGTCATTCAAACGTCCATTTTTTTTGTCCTTTTTTGTTTTTTCTCCGGGGCTCAGCGGGGACGAAGACGAGGCCTCGGGCTCCTCCATCAAACAGATTCACACCTAACGAGCCCCGCCGCTAACGAGATAAACAAAACACAAGAGATTAGAAAGTGGTGGAAGTGACCAACGGGCAGGGAGGCGACCGCCCAGCTCCACCTCTTCTCTGGACAGGAAGTGACATGATGACGAGCTGAGGGCAGCGCGAACAAGACGCGTTCTACAAAGATCATTTTAAACCGACCGCACCGGGCGGCTACTCTCACTTCTTAAGCATTCAATTTGGGACAGATGAATTTGAACGCAACCCATGAAGTGTGGAGCTGAAACTCTGAATCAACGTTCATTTGTTGCTGCTTCACTTCAGCATAACCTCCACTACAGCTGCTGTGGTGACTGAAGACCGTGTCGCCCACTGGTGGGCTGCGAGGGTATTACAAGTAGGACGACAAATCATTTGTAAAACTGTTCAATTTTGGTGAAAAGATGTAATTATGTATATGTATATAAAAAAGGCACATTTAAATGTATTAAAACAAAGTGATCTTTAAAAGCTGCTGTCGGACCATGCCATATACTTGTGTCAGTTGCAGTTACCCCAGTTCCAGATAGGGGGCGCATCTGAGTGGGAGCAACAGTGTGGATTTGCCCCGATCCCCGAAACACGACTACCCTCAGAGGCTCGTCGCTGCTGCTCGTTTCTATCTCCTGTCACAACACCTGCTGTGATTCAGGCCGTCAGATAATTCACACTGACAGACGTGACGACAGAGAGAAGCTCCCGTGTCCTGTCGGAAGATTTCTCCTCGTCACTGAAACTTCAGAGGGAAATCTCTCTCTCATGATGTTGGGAGGACGAGAGGAGACGAGGAGAAGGAGAGGAGAAGGAGACGAGGAGGAGACGAGGAGGAGACGAGAGGAGGCGAGAAGAGGCGAGAGGAGACAAGGAGAAGGAGACGAGGAGAAGGAGACAAGGAGAAGGAGACGAGGAGAAGGAGACAAGAGGAGAAGGAGACGAGGAGAAGGAGACGAGGAGAAGGAGACGAGGAGGAGACGAGAGGAGGCGAGAGGAGACAAGGAGAAGGAGACGAGGAGAAGGAGACAAGGAGAAGGAGACGAGGAGAAGGAGACAAGAGGAGAAGGAGACGAGGAGAGGCGAGAGGAGACAAGGAGAAGGAGACGAGGAGAAAGAGACGAGGAGAAGGAGACGAGAGGAGGGAAGGAGGCACAGAAGAGATGGAGAGGAGATTTCCACAATTACTAATTCATCAGAAGCTTTTGTCGTGTTCTGATAAGTTGACAGCTTTGTACACAACCACACACACACACACACACACACACACACACACACACACACACACACACACACACACACACACACACACACACACACACACAC